CTGAAGAAGTATGGGTAGCTCGCAGATCGACCTTGAGGCGAATGAACACGAAAAACGAAATCCTAGAGGAAGTCATATTATCTGATGGAATTGCACTAGACATATGCCTCCTTTTAAACAAGTATGTCGTGCATAGTAACAACTTTATGAAAATGATATGTGTCAATAGAAATGGGCTTATCGACACGTTAATAAAACTCGCTAAATGGAGTCCGTTTGGGATATGTAACACCTCCTCAGGCGACCTGTTGGTCTGTCTTAGAACGGATATTGGTCATCAAGGAAAAGTTGTCCGCCTTTCTGGGTCAAATGTCACGCAAGAAATACAGTACGACACTGAAGGCAAACCACTTTTAAGTAAGAAGGCTTCCGGTCTCTTTGTTGCGGAAAACAAAAATTCTGATGTCTGTGTTTCTGATCCCGGAGGTGAGGCAGTCATTGTTGTCAACAAATCTGGAAATCTCAGATTTCGATTCCGTGGTCAGGAGATGTTTGAATGCTTTACCCCTTATGGAATCGTCACAGACACCATGTCCCAAATCCTGGTCGCAGATCGTGACAACGATTCTATCCATATTATTGACTGTGATGGAAAGTTCCTACGATTTATCAAAGGAAGCGGTCTTCATCAACCATTTAGTCTTAGCATTACAAAGAACAATCTCTTGTTTGTAAGTAGTGGAACAGAGGATAAAATTTCTATTGTACAATACACAGACTGATGTTTTATTGAAAATTTGCTCCAAGCAGCTGATATCCGAAAGTTGAAATTTTGTTTCGTTGATTTTGCATGATTTACTACTTATTTGATTCTTCCTGTTTTCAATTAAACATTTGTCTTAATGCAATTGCTTCCACAAAAGTCCTTGTGTTTTTAAATACCTGTTGTACATGTTTCATACAAGTTCATGATTGTACCTATTTCCAAATTGCTTCTCAAAATGTTTAATCATCGTCATTAACAATTTGGTCCATTTAGGGCTTAAATGGCTTGAATTCCCTGTGTTTGTTTGGCTTACCAAATCGTCCTTATATGAATATATCAAACCTTTCAATTGTAAAAACGGAGATTCAGTAAAACATTACTTTCTGAGCGATAAATACTACTGATTTTACTAAAACAAAATCATTGAGTAGCAAAACAAAGATAATAGTATGCATACAATATTGAGCGTTAGACATTATAAATGTATTATTGAAAAGAATCTTAGGCCACCTAATGACATATCGTCTGTTTATTTTTTGGCATTTCTACCTTTTTATGTATTTGTTTGTAAAACAATGAAACTTGTGAGCGGTTTTATTGAGAAGACACAATTTATGATATGAAATCCTCAAATAACCCCACAAATTTTACACGCTTAACTATCGAACATCTTAAATTTATTCTTTTATAATATTTTATATTGAATAATTTTCGTCATCTCCATATCCTTCCTTATACATATCAATGTTCTGAATCTACAACTCATTTACTACTCTGTATCTACTGATGGAGACCCACTTATAATAAAAGGGCCAACATTTAAGGAGTTTCAATTTTTCAACTTTTGTCACAATTCCATAAATGTTATGAATTTTGTGTGGAAGATCACTCCATGCAATAGAAACTAACTTGAAAAAGAAGACCTTTTACTCTGTTATATTAATGCGGAAGATTCTTATATTAAAATTCCCTTCTCATTCTTAATGCTTTGACTTATTTATATACATCAGAGTCACCACCCATGATTAAATAAATTGTTGTGAAGAATATTTTTTGTTTGTTATGCTGAGTTTGTTTAACACTCTCTCTCTTTATTCTATTCAACGTCATTTAGGACGTACTCAAATGTAGATATGCATTGATCTTGATTTGCAATTAATCATCGCTCACCATTCTTTTTCCAAATTTGTGTAAAAACCTAAAATCAATAACAAGGAAACGATGTGTATGTTTTTATATCAATAATTCAGAAACTATTTCTTTTAATTTCTAACAAAATCTATTTTCACGTTTAAAAAAAAGTTTGGATAAATGCTTAAACCGTACCTTGTTCTTAATCGGTTTTGCAGACTTGAAGTTGGACTTGAAGTTGAAGATACACAACAGAGTCAACTAAAATGCCTGTCGTGGTGTTTTCATCAGAAAAATTAACCCTATATAATTACTCATTTAGTATTAAACCCATTTCACATGCATGTCCGGTTTATGTCTCCTAGCTGATAAAATTCTAGGCCTTTTGTCTAAATTAGATTTTTTATTTGAGCAGATCATGACAATGGACACTTGGGAGGGAGTGACCAGTCAATCGGGTTTTCTTCATTCTCTTGGGTAACTAATCCCCTCTCTGTTGTTTTCAGAGGACCGTGTCTGCTCTATTCCCGATTTGTATTGTTTCAACGGACTTTTGATTTTGATATATGAACGTATACTTTTTCTTAATATTTCACATCAGATAATTGATTAACCATGCTAGTATTACTGTTGTAGGATATAAATAAACCTTGCATATTTTTAATATAAGGCAAATTATCAGATAAACTGAATACAGGTAGATGAAATAAAATGAAATGGTTGCATTATATAGAAGAAGACTTTGGAGATAACTCTGAATGTTGAATTATGATTTTTCCATCATAAGACATTGATTAATAAAAAACGCGAAAAAAACAAAAAATTACAATTAAAAAAAAATATTTTAAAGGACGTTCAGTGTACATGAAATTGACTTGAGAAATAATTGATAAATTCCCGCTTTACAGAGTTATGGAACGGACAAGATATTTAAGGACAAATTGTATACAAGATAGTTTTGTCTATTGGGACAATGCATATGACTCAGGGCGGATGTGACTGGTCTATAGAGGGTGCTTGCTCTTCCCAGGCACCTGACCCCACCATTGTATGACTTTTTACATATTTGCATGTTTTATGCATTTGATGAGATCGATTATTGTTTATTATCTTTACTTTTTCATGCATTGTATGTTTTCTTTACCCGATCAATACAAATGTATTCTGATCAATACAAAGGGCTCACCAAGGGTGTGAAAAGTTGGTAGAGTATGATTTCATGTACGTGAGTACTTCTCCTATGCCTTCAACCCGAGTTCTGTTTTTTTTTCCAGATACCTCATTTTTTGTCCTGTTCATGATCTTTTTTCTAGATTAATGAGATTGAACAGTGTTTTTTTATCTCAACCTTTCTTGTTTACTTTACCATTGGTTTTTCTTTAGGTATACATACGCATACATATATATCTTATCTACCCACAGTCTATATTGACATTAAGGAATGCACACCATGTCTCTTGCCACGGCATTTATGTTTTTGATATTTTGTCACACTGTTTCTTCAATTCTTCTAGAGAACATTGGTCATGATGACCATGTCATCACTAGAAATGAACTTGACCAGGAGATTAAAGGTTTGAAGACAATCATTGCAGAGCTTAATGACACAATTGTTAAAGGTAATTTATAAATTCTCGTTTTCTTCAAATTGTGGGTAGAAATACGATATAATAGGATTTTTACTTCCGTTGAATATTAAAAAATACATTCTGTTTCGAGTTCTAGAGTTTACACTTCAAAAGATGTATATTTAAAGTACATTTTCTCACTTATAAACTGGAAAAAACGTAGAAACATTGACATGGCTGTCTATCAGGATGTCTGACAACGGCTTTAACTATGGAACCTTTATTTAGGATGGATCCATACTGTTTAATTTATTGTTATCTCTAATATATGGTGTTATGACCTTAGTGCGAGATGAGAGACAAAAAGGAAAAATCCATGTTTATTTGATTCCAAAAGTCAAGTTTTCAAATGGCCTAGCACTTTAGCTTTATAGAGACAAAATAGTCAAGAATAATTTTTTTTTATTTTACTTGTTTACTGTTTTGTAGAAAGGAACAGATCAAACGTTGCTTTTGTTGCGGAACTCTCTAGAAGTATTACAAATCCGACATCCAACTTCCACATCGTGTTCGATAACGTCAAATTAAACGCCGGAAATGCGTACCACCCCACTCATGGAATATTTGTCGCCCCATATCCAGGAATCTACCACTTTGCAGTCGAAATTACAGCGCCCCCTACTTCTGACCCTCACTCTATGCATGTTCGCATTATGAAAAAAACACAGGCTGTGGCCATCACTTTCTTGGACAACAACATGAGCTATCATCTGCGCAGAACCGGATCTATTGTTCTGCAGCTCAACACCGGAGATGACGTTTGGTGTCAAACTGAATACATGGGTGGCCAAAACACAATTACTGGTGGAAATACCTACTCAATGTTCTCTGGGTTCATCATCCATCTTTGTAAAATAAAATAAATCATGTGTTATATTATCCTCATTGCTCGTTAGTTTTGTTAATTTGGACAAAAATTATGTAGACTAGCATATTCAGAAGAGTCCTTTTTCGTCCCCATTTTTCCACTTCTGGCAACGTCTTCTTCCGGTCCATCTGGACATGGTGCAAATTTTCTTCCACTGTCCATAGGTTCCACGCCCTTGGAGTTGCCAGGCTGAGCTTTGGTATACAGAATCTACACAACTTTTGAAGTACAGACATTTGAGGGTCTAGCTCGCACCCTTTTCGAGTTATAAGCCGAAATAGAAATTGGTGCAGAATGTAACAATACGTCAGTTAATGCAAATCAAGATGCTGCCTTTCATTTCACTTTTAATCAAGAATTTGTGTAGGTTACGTTTAAAATCATTTCGTAAGTTCTATAGTCAATACAATGACCTTTGTCAGCAAATTCAATTTATCGTTGATTTAAACGCTGGCTGACAATTTTCATACCAATAATTGTTAGTCCATCATTTATACATTGAATTGACGAATGATTTTTCCGTTAATTCCTGATCGTGACACGGAGCACACGGCGGTGGGACCAGTCGGCGGGGGATGTTCACTCCTCCATGGCACCTGGTTTCACCTCTGCTGTTCTGGAGATCCGTGTTTGCTCTGCTCCTATTTTGTTTTTATAGACTTTTGAACTTTGTTATTATTGCACAGTACTCTTGAAGTGTCTCCCTAACCTCTGTTAAAATCGTAGTGAGGAGTTAAGAAAGAGGCTTGGTTGAATATAATTTCATTTTCACACTCATAATCCTCAAATCCAGAACATCAACCCCATTGTCAGGGTTAGGGTTATGCACACAATCATTCAAATGTACATGTACCTTCTAATGGAATGCTATTTTAATCAAAAGTTGAAACGTAATTTGGAAGATTGAGATCATCAATTTGGATTGGGGTTTCATCTGTACATTCATTTCTCTTTGAATTTTGAACCTTGCCTCTTTGAAGCCCTTAAAATATACGAGCACAAAGGGATACAGGGTCGCTGTTTTTTATCGAAATCTACTTATATTTCAATTATCAGACAGAATTGCACTTGAAACATATCAACAATTAAGCGAAATACATGTATATGCAGGTAAAGAACAATATTCAAGCTCAAGAGTAGATTTAAACAATTCAACTCAAGAGTATAGTAAATATTTGAACTCAAAAAATCTCTTGTCGTATCAGGTGCCATGGGGGAGTGACCATCCCATCCATAGCTTTGATGAGCAAGAGTGCCTCTTTGAAAATTGTCAACTTAAAATCCCCTTTCTCAAAGGTTTGATAAATTCACGATTTACTACTTTCTTTTATATTGTTGTCACACAGCATGCAATTTGTTTTAATCTATTTTCTTTATAAACACCCTCCAAGCCATTATAGTTATATAACTGTAATTCCAACCCTAACTCTTTCTTTTATTTATCATCAAAAACAATAATATATAAAACATACAGATAATTGACCAAAACAAACAATGGCGGTGGTATTAATTTAAGGTGTCGCTCGAAATTGAATAAATATTAGCTCATACAGACAAAGTGCTAGAGAAAAGAAAAATGAAAGTCATTGTTGAAGCATTTTATGTAAATGTAAATAAAAAATTATACAAATGGAAAGATTTACTGTATACAAAATGATTTCATGTTAGCAGGATATTCTCCATAATGTTCCGTACTAAAGTTCACATTACCCCGTACTAATTAAAAAATGAAAGTGAACCCCTGGAACTGTTTGAATCAAATATTAAAATTAATGCATTTATAGAAACGTTTAAATACAGCATTACATAATCATTTGCCAATACACAGAATCTGAGAATTATTGAATAACAAATTTTGAGGCGGTGTGAGATTCAAATTCACGACAATTATATTGTCTATTGTTTATTATAGAACTATGAGTGCGTGCGCGCTATAGAGTTATATTCATCATTTTTGTTGTAACCTTTGTTACCACTTACCACTTGTTCATCTTAATATGTAAGTTGTGAAGTACATTTTTTTTTCTAAGGAGCTTTTCATAAAAATATGGAATAAAGTTCTAGTACTCTAAAAAAACTTAATAAAATATCTACAAGAACCCTTATTAAAGCTAAAATCAGTCACCAAAACAACCATAATATAAGCTAACATCAGTAACTGAAAAATAACTTCAGTCAGGAAGAATTTTCAGTTTTTATCATGCTTTGGTTTACTTCTCTCTCCGTATTTTTTGTATTAGGTGTAAATTGTGACGTTTTGCAGGATGATACAGTCAGCTCCGATGAATTACCAGTAGAGCTTCCAATGACACGAAATATCTTCAGGCAACTTCTGAATCAAGAAACTCTTATTCGATTGTCTCTCGTTAAGAATGTTCAGAATCTTATGCAGGATATGGTTACACAGAAAGAGATGATGTTGAAACTTCAAAATAGCATGGAAAAAATGGCTATAAGTCTGGAAGAACAGAATAAAACGATAGAGAGAGAAGATTGTCCTCGCTTAAGGTAAGGTTTGCGTTTACAGGGAGATAACTCTTGCGAATCACCAAAGCGTTTGAAACAGGCGAATTTAAACCAGCGATGCTAAGCATCTCGGTAACGAATTTCCTCTGTCATACTTGATGTTTGTTGTCACTTATTGTTAGGACTAAAAACAAAGGACGTTTTCAGGAGAAAGTCTTATAACAAATCAAAGCATAGGAATCTTAGAAGCCTTTGAGATTAGCGTTATGCATGTGGATGAACCAATAAAGGAGGACTTGTTTATTTTCGACACGGAACGTGGCAAGTTGCACGGCCACTCCGATCAGAAGAAAGTCGTTGACGCATTGTGCTGTTGTGTGTTTCTCGCTTCACCACTACACTAAAATTTTAAATGAGTATTGGGAAAGAAAAAAGAAAAGACCTGAGAGTATCCTGTAAAGTATTATGCTATATGCAGTCCGAACAGGGAAGAAAAGTCACGGTGCATTTGACCATGTCCAATGATGATGTTGACAGTTTGATTGTTGATAGTATTTTCATCAGGTAATTATTTAACTATTCATTTTACTGAAAGTTATGAATAATCTACTGACTACGGATTTAAAAACGATGAATAAACGGTACAAGGATGTCAGGATGTGACTAATATCCCAACATTGCCAAAAAATAAAAATGCTTTCATTCAAGAAATTATGAAAAATAAAATCCTTGCTTTTTAGGCCTAATATTTGTAACATTATTGGAACAGGTATTCAATTGTTCAAATTACCTTTTTAAATGAGGTTTGATTTTAATTAATATCTCATTTTCTAATTAATAAAAAAAGAGATACAGATTGTGCATGACAAGAACATTTAAATTTTCTTGATCAAGCATTTGCATTTCACTAATTCAATCTGTAAATTTTACAATAATTTCAAATTGATTCTTCATTGATTATATTGGAAATTTGTTCATGTCATTGAGTGAATGAAACTCAGTGCAATTCCTTATGCAATTCCAAAAATGCAATTCCTTAAATGTTATTATAAAAATGAACACATATGATTTCAGATCATGGGTCATTAATTGGAATAGATAAGAACCACAAAAAAGAGTACTTCAGTGTTTCCTTAAAAGATTTGTGCCATAAATCAAAGTAGAGGTCATCCCATATCAGCTCAAGAAAATTAAAGAAATTTGGATGGATCAAGCTAAGATGTTGAACCAGACATGGCAAAATCAATGGAGAGTTGGAGAAGAACTTCTGACTTGTTATACCCAATGCATATTTTTTATATGTCTATAGATTATAGAAGAAAATTTTATGTTTAACAACATCCTATCTAGTATATATACATGCTGTTTTCCATACATTTAGAAAATATGTGTATGTGATGATTGCAGTTCATGCTCTGTTTGTCCATCTTTGAATTTGTTTTCAGTAAAATAAATGTATACATCATAGGTATTAATTGAAGGTTGCTTTTGTCTATATTTACATGTAACAAGTTTCTTAAAAGGGTTTGTAAAATTGCAAGGTAATTAATACATGAACAATTAAGATTGTTATTTTTATTCATTCAATTATGTTCTTACCAGGACCTAATATGCTCAATTAAGTATTTCTGAAAACTGATGAGTTTTGTACATAAAGCTACAGTGAACATGTATAATTATATCTCCTGTAACAGTTTAAAACATGACACTTAAGGTTTTTAATTTAGTAGAAATGATAAGACCAGTCTAGTAATCTACTAAAATTAAAATCTTTCACAAATACATGTAGTTTATTTTAAAATTGTTTACATTTATAATCTTTTAATTTTTTTCTGTATTTTGATTTTAAAAAGGAGAAAATTTTGTTATATTTAAATTATTATTTCATGGATATCAAGGAGATATATCTATCACTGTAGCATTGTTTCTTTTTCCCTGTTCTTGACAAATATTTATGACAGTGTTATGTCATTTTGCAGAATTTGCCTTTTCTCTGAAATCAGAATTACTCTGTAAACTCATTAAAAGTATGAATTGATGTCACTTAGAATTCATCTTTATTTTGTTCTGTCTGATTTTTGAATTTAGATTCTCAGACTCCATAATCCAATGATTGAGCTAATGTCCATGAAGTGTAGAAATAGGCCATCTTTAAAAAATGTTTGGTTGTCAGCCTCTCCAGACCGACTGACTAAAATGACCAGACTGAAAACTTTTTTTCAATGCAGGGCCTTATTTTTTTCTTTTTATTCCTCTTATACCCCTTAAAAAAATGTTGTTGAAGATTTTCTCACCTACCGACCCAATAATTTTACCCTGAATCAAGAGAGGGCAAACAAACATTACTTTAAAGATCGCATTTCTACTCTTCGAAGTAAAGAAATATCATTTAATTCTAAAAACAGCAGCTTCTTGGATGCAATGCTTACAACATTTCACTCAAAAAATGGCATACATGTACAATGACAGTCATCAGCCATAACTGAATAAAGATATTTTGCTACAAAGATGTCTAGAAGTTACTACATGTTGGAATAACTGAATCAGCATGAGGTCAAATTCATAGGCTTTTAATTGGTTTAGATGCAACATGTTCTGAAGTATGTTTATAGACATGTACATGTACTTCTAAAGGTGTTGCAGTATAATTCATGGACAATTTCATCAGAATAATCAGATGTCAAGATTGCCATTAATACTAGAGTTCTTCCATGGAATAAATTTGTAGACCATCATGTAGCACAGGAGGAGTTTGATTTTGAATATTTTTGGCCAATTTATGCCTAAAAACAATATCAAAAATAACATTTAGTCTTTAACATTCACCATGACAAGGTGATATCAATGTTGTCTTTAAAAGTGTAGAAAAAGCCTGCTTTTTATGTTCCGAACCCATAATATAGCCCCTGTTTCCATGGAAATAATATTGGGGACATACATATTTTTTTAGTTCAAATTAATGAAAATTATCAAATTAATAACTTCATGGATTTTGATGGAATCGGTAGATATGTAAAACGTTGATTTTTATATTTTTGTTGCCATGGCAACGGTTTCACTTTATCAAGGAAAATTGAAAAATCTTCTTTTTTACCCAAATTTTCACATTTTTGATAACGGAAAATTAAAAGTTTAAATAATAGAAACATGAATTATACTAATTCAGGTCATTTTAATTATAAACGTTTGATAATTTATAAAATAAATCAATTTTTTCAATGAAAATAATATTCGAGGTGAAATTTGAAATACGTTAATTTGGCGTCTTTTACTAAAAAAATGGGACGGGCAATATCTTTGAAAATCATATTAAATGATGAAGCTAATCTCCCTGAATAAATTGATATATAGCATGTGTGCATATTAAAAAAAAATATGAGTTGGAGGGAGACGCAAACCTTACCTTAATACAGGAAACCAAGAAACCAACAGAAGAATTGCACAACTGGAAGACGAGGTTAAAGGTAAGAACTTTACGGGGGAAAGGCTTGACTCGGAGCTCACAAATGTTATCAATTCCCAACAGAGTCTTAAAGAAGAGTTAAAACTCGCTGTTCAGGAATTAAAGAACAACTCTGACGTCATGTCTGACGTAAGAGTGGAGTTGCGGCTCCTGTCTATGAGTGTGTTGGACCTTGATGAACGTGCAGACGATATAAAGAAGCGCTTAAATGAATTCAACCAAAGTGTGCCCCAGCTATGGGAGAAATATGAAGTAGTCACAGAAATCGTGGGAAATCTGACCACTAACTTGTCAGGTAATGACGAGTGTTTTTTTCATGCTATTAACCTTTCCTTTTTTATGCTTTAAAGAAAAGATCAAACAACAATTCACACTTTTATCAATTATCATGAAATTGTACATTGAGAATTAACATAACTACATTTTCCTAGCATCTACTCACCAAAAACTGGATGAAATGAAGACGGGTCTCAGGAAAACACAGAAAAATCAGCTCAAACTTTCCGCAGCAGTTCTTTCTTTAGAGTGGTTCAGAAACAATGCGACCAAAGGGAACTGTGGTAAAATATGCTATCTTTCACTACTTATTTGCAAAGATATTCTAAAAGCATTTAAAGCTTAAGATTTAATGTAACTTTTAATTGATGATTTATTCTAATTGTCAGATTTTAGCAAGTCATGAATACATACAATTCTTTGAAAATTATATTGCCAGAAAAGTTAGGCTTAAATGAAGCTTGATCCAAAAGTAACGTCACATCTGCGATAGAATCTTTTATAACTGATAATTTTCAACAAAACTTTATCTACCTCTATAGATTTTGAGATTTATCCTAAATTATCATTTAGATACATGCAATGATGTCAAAACACTCTTGCTATGTCTCAGTAGACAAGTTAATTCATTTTAATAAGTAGTGTTCTTTTGAATGATAGTTTAGGAAAAAATTATAATAAGATGCATTTGTATATATAGTTTTTTTTTTATTTGCTGATACCGTTAATTAGTAATTGTAGCAATACGTTTGGATCAAATCTCGATTAAACAGATTTTTTTTCAATTTACTAATTGTTTAAATGACCTAAAAGGATACTTTTATAATATCTTTTTTCAGAGTTAACAGAAGGAAACTCAATGAACTTAACAAAAAAGATCGGATTTACGGCTGGTCTCCGCTCTTCTAACAGTGGCTGGTCCTCTAACAAGCTGGTCTTCACTGAAGAGATCTATAACCATGGTGACGGCTACGATTTCTCATCCGGGATATTCACGGCACCAGCCTCTGGAGTTTATGTGTTCTATGTCACCCTGACTTCGTATGAGGACTCTAACATCTTTGTTGATATTGTGGTCAACGGGGCCTCCAAAGTAAGAGCCAGAGCAAATGGCAGGAGAGAATCCGGTGACTACGACGACTTTGAATATCAGTACCAGACGGGGACAAACTTGGTGGTGACGTCACTAGATCGTGGGGAGAAAGTGTGGGTGGAATACCATTCTGGCAGAGGTTACTATTCTGAAACTGTTCCCGTCAGCACGTTCTCGGGCTTTATCATCTAAAGTCAGCACGTTCTCGGGCTTTATCATCTAAAGTCAACGAAATAGTTATGTTGATCGAAAATGAGATATCAACTTTCGGCCGTTGTCGGTTATTATAACTGTATTTTTCATTTCAAATCAGTTTATATTGTATACATACATTATACTAATAAACATTTGAGTATCAAAACTCAATAACCAATTAAGTCTTTAATAGTTTATAGTCTGATCAATACAAAGGTCACAGGGGATTGATTTCAAAATAAAAGTACTCTGTACCGACAAGAGTCATAAACTTCTTATACGCACGTGTATATTGACGAGGAAATTGAAAGCATCGGCGACTGTAAATTTACAAATTCAAGTGTTAGAATGGGAAACAGATACGAGTTAAAGGAAATGGACAACAATAACAAATCATGTTCATTGTGATCTGATTTATTGGAGTATTGGAGTTGTTGAAGTCCAAATTTTCCCCATCTTATATTGAAAGATGCAATTTTAATTTATGCAGTCATATAAAAGAAAACATATATGAATCGAAAACAGATTTTAATTCAAAATTTTAACAATATATCTCTCAATATCTCTCTCTCGTTCTCGCAAAAGTTTCCGATATTGTGATCCGTTAGTTTAACTACATCTGGTAATGACTGGTATATAAAGGCCTGTAGTTGTACTTTATACTCCTTGAACTGAATGAAAATCAAGTATTATAATTTTTCCGCACTAATGTTTATATGTCATTTTTCACTTGAGGTAATTATAAACGCTTAATCAAAGTTCAGAATGATTTCTATATAAACTGTCTGGAGACTCTGCTTTTCGAATAGACTCGTTGACAAACCATAAAAATGCTCGTTTTTCTGAGGCTGCTTTCTCTTTCTATTTTCTTCTTGAACCCGGGGGAAGCTAATGATACCATAAACACGACAGCTGTGTCTGGTGTGTCGGGCGGGGAACCGCTCGGTCAGGACGTCTTCAGGCAACTCCTGAATCAGGAGACGCTGATCCGAATGTCCATGGTTAAAAACGTCCACAGTCTGATGCAGGACATGGTGACACAGAAAGACAGTATGGTAGAGCTACAGAACAGCGTTAACAGACTAACGACGTCCTTCGAGGAGGAAAAAAGGGCCGAGGAGGAAAAAAGGGCCATGCAAGTGGAGATCAAAGAACTTAAAAGTGAAAACCAGAAACTGAAAAATACTCTTCAGAAAATGGACACCGTGTTAACTGAGCTGAATCAGACAGATGGTAGGCTAGAAACTGATATTTATAAAGTCTGGAATGATCAGAAACAGTTTGCACAACACATGAACGCAAGTCTGGAATTCTCTGCAAGAAAAACCAACAATGTTTTAACAGATCTGAAAGTAGAGCTTCGCCTTCTCTCCATGAGTGTTGTCAATGTTGACAAACGTTCCCAGGACCTAAACAAGCGCATAGATAATGTAGACAAAGCAATACCAGAGCAGATCGAAGAGAAATACCACGTGGTCTCAGCAATGGCTAAAAACCTATCCGAACATTTGTCAGGTAAAAGTTTCAAAGCAATATTTCTTTGATTCCATTTTATCTTATGATCAAGTTCACAGCGCTTGTTTTTCGAAAAAATTTCTCCTGATATCTGTCTTGATTTTCAGGTTATTGAAACAATGTTTATTTGGCTCCATAAATCATTTTCTCGTCCTCGCTAACCCTTGAAAGGTTGTCATGCACGGCAAAAATTGAATGACAGTATTTAGTGATGCTGTCAGTGAATTTATCCTTTTTTTACAGAAGAAACCAATACCACATTATATAACCTGAGATCTGAGCTTGAAGACTCCAAACAGAGTCAGCTGAGAATGTCGGCAGCAGTGTTGTCATTAGAATGGTTCAAAAACAACATCTCGAGAGGAAACTGTGGTAAATACAAAATAAAAATCAAGCTTTGGCAAAAAGCATATCATGTACATTTAATTGACTTTCTTATGTTAAAATTTAAGACAACTGCTACTAAAATTATCGAAGCTCTATTTTAAACTGGCATTATTTTTTATAAATAAAAGTGATATAGGATGGAAATGGTTTGAGAGATATCTTAATAATATTCTTTGACAACCCTTACGGTTCTCCAGGTAGTGCTTATATTATTATCAACATTTGTAATACTGGGGTGTAAAAATATATCATATCTTAAAACACTTTTTTTGCATTTCCCATTTTACAGACTTGTCAAAAAGAATCGGCTTTACGGCAGGTGTATCTTCTAGCGGAAGTAGCTGGTCCTCTGGTAAGCTGATATTCAACAAAGTTTTGTACAACCAAGGAAATGGGTACGATTCTTCATCCGGGGTTTTCACAGCGCCCTCTGCTGGCATGTTTGTGTTTGTCGTCTCCATTACTTCCTACGATTCGAACACGATCTCGGTAGACATTTCTCTGAATGGATATTCCCAGGTAACAGCCAGAGCAAACGGGGGAAGCGGAAGTTCTTATTCGGGATATAACAGCTATAAGTATTCATACTCGTATCAGAGTGGGACAAACATGGCGGTCCTTTCCCTGAAGCGCGGAGACAGAGTCTGGATTTCGTATAATTCAGGAACAGGATACTATTCCAGTAGTACTCCTATCACAACATTTTCTGGATTTTTGATTTAATATCGCTTCAAAGCTTACAATCTAGAAGAAAAATGGAAATGTTAATAAGTTTTTCTTCTTCCGTTTATATGCATGTTTTACTGTTATTCGTATACTCGCATGTATCTGTTCAATAAAAAAGAAATAATAAATCAATGTATTTGATTTATCATTTGCATCCATTTTATATTTTCTACATAATTTCATTTTCGGCAGTGAAATACTGTAATTGATTTATTGATTAATTTGTCACAGTGTAAAAGAATATCAAAGTAATGGTTGTCACAATGTTCAGAGAATATCAGAAGTGTGGTAAAACTCGAGATTGTTCTTCCCTTCATGCAGATTTTTTTCCCTAGAGTATTTAAAAAAAAAACTCCCTGGCCTAGGGGGTCGTAAAACTTAGACGAGCTCACTTTTGATCTCAATCTCGCTTTTTTCTAAGGAATATATAGTGGAAAAGTGAGACTGAGATCAAAAGTGAGCTTGTGAAAGTTTTATGGCCCCAGGCCTGGTCTTCATCAGCTAGTAACATAACAAAAAAGACCGAAAGTCTTAGTATAGTAATTATTATAATAGTAATTCTGAAGTTTCAATGTTTTTAAAAATATTAAATAAGGAATAAAGCTTATTTAACTTAAATTATACGATATAACATAACTTGGGGCAGTTTACGCTTTATAAACCGCGAAGCGACTTATTATGTCGTACGTAGTATCTCTTACCTACAACTTTGTACCTCTTACGTACGAGATAATATGTCATACGTACGACTTAGTATGTAGTACGTACGACTTACCATATTTTTTTTTCAAGTGGCAGCAATACGCTTACGTACGATTTGCACCTTGATTGAGTGATTGTATATTGTTTAACGTCCCTCTCGAGAATTTTTCACTCATATGGAGACGTCACCCTATGCCGGTGAAGGGCTTCAAATTATAACCTTTACTCGGCACTCAGGGCCATTGAGCAGTGAGGGATCCTTATCGTGCCAACGCCTACCGCTGACAGGGGGGCCTAGGTTTTTAAGGTCTCATCCGAAGGACCCGCAACTTTCACTTCAAAGTGCCTAGCCTATGGAGAAGGAACAGTTGCTACCAATTTTATCGACTAGGTAAGTCGCGGCCGAGAAACGAAGTCACGGCCTCCCGATCACGGAGCGAGCGCTCTACCGACTGAGCTACCGTGAACGGTATTTGCACCTTGAATTAATAAAAATAAACACATGAATTTTGGAAACCCTTATTTACTTTTAGTAGTAATTGGTTTGCCTACCGGCTTTCTCAATCATATCTAGGGTGATGAGACATGACATGGATGGGACAGATGTAACGGAAACTGGTATCTATAATAATATCTGGTCAGAGGCTTCAATGTTTATATTCCAGTACATGTAATTAACTTGTATTGTATTTTTTAAATATCCCCATTTCAAACCAAAAAGAAAGCATTTTAAATATGCAGTTTGTGGGGGGGGTTTTTAATTACAATTCCTTCCAAAGAAATTTTAAGTTGAACTGTCCCTTGTTTAATCAATTTTTAGAATATAAAAGGAGTAACATTGTGATAAGATGGCAATACCTTAAGGTTAAATAAGTAAATCAATGTAAGACGATCAACCAACATCTGTGTGTTTAAAAAAATGAATGTTTGGAAACGAACTCATTTACATGAGCATATGTTCATCGAGGATGATTTAAGGAAAAATTAACAGTAACATTATCTCCTCAACTACACGCTCAAAACCTTGAAATAGCATAGGCGTAGTCACAGGGGGGTAGCGGGGGCACTAGCCCCCCCACTTTAAGATCTGGGGGGGCAAGAGTACGTCAGTGCCCCCCCCCCCCACTTTTTAATGAAGAACAGAATCACAGCTATTTTGAAATAATATTAATACATAGTTGTATAATAAAATTGTGTAGAAAAATTGAAATTGAAAGTAAATTGCCTTTGAAAAAAAAGTTCCCGGATCGATAGATCCGAGGCGTATATTGTTTTTGTCCTGTCTGTCTGTCTGTCTGTTTGTTTGTTTGTTTGTTTGTTTGTCCCCAAACTTTAACCTTCGCCATAACTTTTGAACCATGAAAGGTAGAAACTTCATATTTGGTATGCATACTTCACTAATTAGGTGCTTTCAAATGACACAATATTAATGACCTTGTGACCTTGATTGTGACCTATATGCTAAAAATAGCTTTTCTGTCTGCAAACTTTAACCTTCGCCATAACTTTTGAACCATGAAAGATAGAGACTTCATATTTAGTATGCATATTACACTAATAAAGTTCTTTCAAATGACACCAAGGTCAATGAACTGGTGACCTTGACTGTGACCTATATACTAAAAATAGCTTTTTCGTACATTTCACCATAACTTTTGAACCATAAAAGATAGAGACTTCATATTTGGCGTGCATACCCAACTAATCAAGGTCTTTCAAATGACACCAAGGTCAATGACCTTGTGACCTTGACTGTTATCTATGCTAGTATGCTAGAAATAGCTTTTTCAATTTTTGTTGCCGCCGGGCGCATGGTGTTTCACAAACACATCTTGTTTGACTTGAAACTACGCAAAAGCAATTAAGTAGAATAATGGTCCGTAGTTAGAATCAGAAATTGATACATATACAATATTATGTAATGACAATGCTCAGATATCTTTCAAATGAGTACTTATCGTTGTTGCAAATCTGACTTCCAAACACAATAATCTAGACTAAAAATTTTCAGAGAATTCTAACTTGTCAAAATAATTTTGTTAACTAAGACATTATTTCTTCAAACTTTGGATGTATTCGCTTTGATAAAAGAATTGACCTATAGGAGAGAACAATTTCCCGGAAAAAGTGACAATCAAAAATTAATCTTTATTTGTTATTTTCTATCGTATATATGTCCAAATTTTTCAAATTTATGTTTTATACCTAATATTTATTATTTAGAATTGTACAATAAACCTCCAAAGTTGGCCAAAACACCATTTTGTCCGTTAAAGCGTTGATTTTTGCATGTATTTTGGCCTAGAAGTCCTTCATGGCAGGCCTGCCCCTATATAAAACTGTGATATTTTGATAGGTTGGGATGTAAATAATAATTTAAGATAGGATTTTTTAGGGGCACCCCTGCCCTAGGGTCGAAATTCACAAAAAACCTACAAAAAATACGGAAACCTGATTTTGATAATCCGCTTAAAATTTATGCCATACAAATTCATAGTCAGACTAGCTCAGTTGATATATGTGCTGACTTTTACAGTGACGATACTTTTTTTTTAAGTCGAGGGTTCGAATCCCCCTGGTACCACACTTTAAAAGTTTTAATTTTTCGCCTTTTCAAAAACTTTTTTATAGACCTGTGCATTTACTTTCAATTATCTATACTTTATGCATGCCCATTCTTGATATAAGGAATACTAAAGAGAGATCAGATCGTAACAATCCAATGTACAGTTGTCAGTCAGGCGGAACAATATAAGCACACTTTCTCCGAGGACAAGAAAAGCTCACTTTGTGTTACTCGATTAGGTATTCTTGGCAGCACTGAGCTGCGATGAATTTCATTTGTATGTATTCCTTAGAATTTAATCACATTGACTTTGTCTACATATATCAGTAACTGTTTTCCTTGGATTTCATTTAGGCCTATATAATTTGCACACATTAATGGCATGTTTTATTATATCCACAGATAAATAGCCTGAACAAAAAGAATAGAATTTCAGAGACAGTTGACATTACCATTAAGCACAATGAGAAGTAAAGAAAAATATCAATTATTATGTTTGGAGATAACTCAGAAATCTATGAAGGGTTTCAGCTCCTATCTCTACTCACTGAAATAAAGATTTAGGAAAAACAAATTGTTATATGTATTCAGCCTAATGTCATTAATCAGAACGGAAATCGGCAAGCTTTTTGTAGAGAATAAAATCAACCCGGTCCTATAGGTCAGATCCCTATTTATAATGAAGTGATCCTTTAAGAAAAAAACCAAAACTTGTGTAAACACTGTGTTTATTGAATATTGATTCACATTCAACACACATTAGTTTTTGTTTATCATTCAATATAACAAGTTGTCTTTAGATATATTGTACACTTTCTGTATCAGTTCTATAAATAACTCCACACTGTTTGTATTTATCACAGTCCTATCTAGATCTTGGCAGTCTGGGACAGAGACTGCAGCTGTGACAAGCAGGACTGAATGTTCTTCTTCTCCTGTAAACAGCAGATAACAGACATTTAATATTTGACTTAATACAGTTTTATACTGATTGTAAATAGCAGGAATTGGACATTTAACATTTGATTTTATACAGTTTTATACTGATTGTGAATAGTAAAAATCAGACATTAAACATCTGATTTTATATGGTATTATACTGATTGTAAATAGCAGGAATTGGAAATTTATCATCTGACTATGTAGTTTTATACTGATTGTGCCAGTATGAAGTGATTTATTTTTCTTTTATTCGATAAACAAGTTTTCATTTTACATGTTTTATATTATTTCTTTTATGAGTTTAGGTTTGTTATACTCAAAAGGTTATAAACAGAGATTATTTTTTATTTATGATGAAATGTGAGTTCAATTATACAAAATTTTTTTTAAAAACTGATCCATATTACTCTGAACTGAAACCGAACCTTGAGTTGTCCCAATTCTATCCTATGATGAGACTGAGTGAAGTTAGTTAGATTTGCCTGGTACCCAGTTCTTCCTAGATCTGAGGTGATATTCCTAACAAAAATCTTACCATATCTGGGGGTGATGTTCTCAACAAAATTCTTACCAGACCTGGGTGATGTTCTTAATAAAATTTTAACCAGATCTGGGGTGAGCTAAGAGACAGTTTGATTTGCATGATACCCGGTTCTTACCAGATCTGGGTTGATCTTCTTAACAACTTGATCTGTAATTCTTACCAGATCTGGGGTGATGTTTAGTTAAGTAAGTTTGATTTGCCTGATACGCTGTTCTTACCAAATCTGGGGTGATGTTCTTCACAACTTGACCTGTAATCCAGTTGATCATGTGATCTTTTTCAAGCTCTACTTTTGTGGCTCCTAGAGCTAATTGACAGTCCTGTACAAGGAGAGAAAACATTTGTAATAAACAAAGCAATCGGAATGAAATAATACAG